GGTGGTGCCGCGGAAGGACCTGACTGAGAGCTCAACAACAACTATGCCCCAGGCAAATTGTTCACGAAAACATAGTCACTGGTCAGCATGGGCAAGAGTTCCAACTACCGAGCCGATCTCACCAGCAATCCTTGCAGTATGCACGCAGACATCCTTTCCCCCTCCACGATTGCCTCCGTCCTAGCATTTGTTGCAACCTGAACGATCAATGTACTGGTTCGAGACTGGCTTAGTCGGTAGAGCGCCCCCATCCGCAGCTGCGACTTCAAATCAATACGTTGTCTCCAAATTCTCAATTACGGCAGCTGCCATCATGCCAAATCATAGTATGTTGCTGATGGAGTGGGCCAATGAAAGACGTTTCTGCTACATGGCACGCCATCGGTAAAACTGAATCTCCCCCGACCCCTCTCGAGGCCTCCAGGGGGACCTCCTGGATACTGTGGTGGTGCCGCGGAAGGACCTGACTGAGAGCTCAACAACAACTATGCCCCAGGCAAATTGTTCAAGAAAACATAGTCACTGGTGCTTCCGCAAACCACAAACACAGCCAGCATGGGCAAGAGTTCCAACTACCGAGCCGATCTCACCAGCAATCCTTGCAGTATGCACGCAGACATCCTTTCCCCCTCCACGATTGCCTAACCTGAACAAGAACAAGATGAAACTACACAACACACTTGCAAGATCATCTATCGATGTTCTGGTTCGAGACAATCTCAGTACAGTACAGCACCCATATCTGGAGCTGCAACTTCAAAGCAATCCGTTGTCTTTTTATCTTTGATTTCCTACCGTTTTGGCAGTTGCCATCGTGCTAAATCGCACCCCTTCCGTTGCCAGAGTTGCTTATGCAGCAGCCATAGCCATTGAAGTGGTGTTTCTGCATATGTCTGCTACATCACGCTACATCACGTCGAATGGTTGTTGGGCTTGGCACGCGACCTCTGCAAGGCGAGCAAGATAGTTAATGAATCCCGGTGCCGGCCTGCAGGAGGAACTCCGGCAAATTGCGGCGGTGCTGCCGCAGGAGGACCTGGCTGAGAGCTCAGCAACAACTGACCCGAAGCAAACAGTGCCTCAACAAAATCAATTCACGGGCGTCTCAGCAAAAAGCAAGTGGCATAAACGCAGCCAGCATTGGCTGCAGCATCACCTCTCAAAGAATCCCAACAGAAAGCTCAGGTGCCCTAGCAAGACCAACCCACCAACAGCAATCCGTGCAGTGTGCGGGCAAGAACCAATACGTTGACATCCTTTGTGTCTCCCCACGATGTCCTCCGCCCTCTCATTCGCTGCACGATCTGAGCTTCTGAACGATCAATGTACTGGTTCGACACTGGCTTAGTCGGTAGAGCGCCCCCATCCGTCTCCCCCGACCCCTCTCGAGGCCTCCAGGGGGACCTCCTGGATACTGTGGTGCCGCGGAAGGACCTGACTGAGAGCTCAACAACAACTATGCCCCAGGCAAATTGTTCAAGAAAACATAGTCACTGGTCAGCATGGGCAAGAGTTCCAACTACCGAGCCGATCTCACCAGCAATCCTTGCAGTATGCACGCAGATATCCTTTCCCCCTCCACGATTGCCTCCGTCCTAGCATTTGTTGCAACCTGAACAAGAACAAGATAAAACTACACAACACAATTGCAAGATCATCTATCGATGTACTGGCTCGAGACAATCTCAGTACAGTACAGCACCCATATCTGGAGCTGCAACCTCAAAGCAATCCGTTGTCTTTTTATCTTTGAATTCCTACCGTTTCGGCAGGTGCCATCGTGCTAAATCGCACCCCTTCCGTTGCCAGTGTTGCTTATGCAGCAGCCATAGCCATTGAAGTGGTGTTTCTGCATATGCCTGCTACATCACGTTACATCACGTCGAATGGTTGTTGGGCTTGGCACGCGACCTCTGCAAGGCGAGAAAGATAGTTAATGAATCCTGGCCGGCCTGCAGGAGGAACTCCGGCAAATTGCGGCGGTGCTGCCGCAGGAGGACCTGGCTGAGAGCTCAGCAACAACTGACCCGAAGCAAACAGTGCCTCAACAAAATCAATTCACGGGCGTCTCAGCAAAAAGCAAGTGGCATAAACGCAGCCAGCATTGGCTGCAGCATCACCTCTCAAAGAATCCCAACAGAAAGCTCAGGTGCCCTAGCAAGACCAACCCACCAACAGCAATCCGTGCAGTGTGCGGGCAAGAACCAATACGTTGACATCCTTTGTGTCTCCCCACGATGTCCTCCGCCCTCTCATTCGCTGCACGATCTGAGCTTCTGAACGATCAATGTACTGGTTCGACACTGGCTTAGTCGGTAGAGCGCCCCCATCCGTCTCCCCCGACCCCTCTCGAGGCCTCCAGGGGGACCTCCTGGATACTGTGGTGCCGCGGAAGGACCTGACTGAGAGCTCAACAACAACTATGCCCCAGGCAAATTGTTCAAGAAAACATAGTCACTGGTCAGCATGGGCAAGAGTTCCAACTACCGAGCCGATCTCACCAGCAATCCTTGCAGTATGCACGCAGACACCTTTCCCCCTCCACGATTGCCTCCGTCCTAGCATTTGTTGCAACCTGAACAAGAACAAGATGAAACTACACAACACACTTGCAAGATCATCTATCGATGTTCTGGTTCGAAACAATCTCAGTACAGTACAGCACCCATATCTGGAGCTGCAACTTCAAAGCAATCCGTTGTCTTTTTATCTTTGAATTCCTACCGTTTTGGCAGTTGCCATCGTGCTAAATCGCACCCCTTCCGTTGCCAGAGTTGCTTTTGCCGCAGCCATAGCCATTGAAGTGGTGTTTCTGCATATTTCTGCTACATCACGGGGACACTGTTGTCGTCGAATGGTCGTCGGGGCTGGCAGGCAACCCCTGCAAGGCAACCAAGATAGTATTGAATCCCAGTACCGGCCTGCAGGGGGAACTCCGGCAAATTGCGGCGGTGCTGCCGCAGGAGGACCTGGCTGAGAGCTCAGCAACCAATAGGCCCTAAGCAATCTGTTCAAAAAGGAATCTGTGCCCAGGCAACACCACCTTAATCACTCTCCATTCTGTCCGCCCTAGTACCCAGGCCCAAATGGGGCTGCACCCTGATTTGCAGCCTTCGAAGCAATCTGATTCTTGACCATCTGCCACTGCTGCCTGTCTGGCAGATACATAAGCGAGCTTTTGTTAAACAATAGTCGCTACAGCTCAAATCTTGTTTAAATACCCCCACCCCTCTGGCCTGCAGGGGGACCTCCAGGATGCTGTGCCTCAAAAGGACCTGGCAAGCTCAGCCAGGTCCCAGTGGTTGCCTTGCCTTGTGGCGATCAGCCTCCAAGCACCCAAATGGAGAACCAGTCTCGCAAGCCTTTAGGAATCCATGCGGGGCGCGGCAACATCATCACCTCCTTTTCAACTTCCTCTGCGTTTGCTGCCACCTGATCATAATCATCACTCTTTTGATATGATTGCCGTGCCCCGGTGCCCCGCCGAACCACGGCCCTTCCCGTCTCCCAACTTGATTGAGCGCCTTCGGTACCTGCTGGAGACTGTGGCGGTGCCACAGAAGGACCTGGCCGAAGGCTCGAGCCCGGCATTTTGAGCGGAGCGAGCACATGGCCACATCGCCCTAAAAACTGCGCCCCAGTCTCCAGCTCTTCTCAAGCGCAGGACTACAGGTCCAACTATGGGACGCTTTTTGGTATACCTCGCACAGAGCGGTGCCAGCGCCCCAAAATGGAGGGACATATGTTTCACACCCCCGCCCCTGCGCCCATGGGTCCAAATCCAGCTAAATAACGAACTCCAACGGCTTCTTCAATATGCGTCGCAGCTTTCAAGCCACAGCAGCATACATCTGCGGGGCAAGACAACAAGTGTCAACCCAAAGCAGGGGTATAATGAAACTCACTTGGAAACATCCCAACAGAAAGGGAACTGTCCGAGGTGCACGGGCCCTGCCAGTGGTGAGGTGTTCCTCCCCGAGAGCAAATTTCAGGAAGCCCACACAGGATCCCCTGGCCTGGAGCTGCCATCGCAAGCAGTCACCTGCAAAGTCCACAAAAACACACACACATACACACACACACACACACACACACACACACACACACACACACACACACACACACACACACACACACATTCGCTCACATGAACATTTTAGCCGTTGCAGTAGCGGCTTCTACTCTCTAGCTTTCGATGAGATGGTATGTATTGAGCGCATCTAAAAGCCTTTATGACCCTGTTGCAAGGTGGTCCATTGGCGGAATCGACCTTCAAAAGGATAGATATATTCGTCAAACTGGTCCCAATAACGAATAACGGTTTGCAAAGGGGCACACCTGCCCTCTTGCAGAACCAAAGGCCAGTGTGTTTTGACCGCCGCCAAACCAGCAACCATTCGTCCAAAGCGGCATCCTCTCACCAAGCATGGAAGTGGCGGAGCTCCCTTGGAAAAGTCAACCCTTCTCGGCCCATGGAGAGTGCAGCCCGATCCGTTGCCCGCGCCTAACGGAGACTCATCACTCGCGGCGGAATGAAACGACACGCCCCGCCATGGGAGCTTCGAGCCATGCCGGCGATTGCTCGAGCGTATCTGATCTCAAAGACTCAGGGCCTCAGGGCCTCAGGGGTTCGCCCTGAGAAAGCGCAAACAAATGGAAGCCTCTGTCGCCTGTTTGACGTTTGGGATTCCTTCGAGCTGTGCTGGAACAACATGCGTAACCTCAAGCCTCTCAAGTGTTCTCAGAATCAACATTGTGAGGCGCTCCCCAGTCTCTCTCTGCAAGGCACCAATCCACAAAGGTGGCCACAGTGCTGACAAACTGGCAGTCTTTGGGCATGCCGTTCCCGGTCACCTCTCTAGATGCGGCTGTGGCTCAAAAACATGTACCCAAATGGCCCCCATGGTAAATGGAACCAAAGACTAAAACCTGCGTAACCCTAGCTCTTGAATTTTGAGCCACACCCATGTCGTGAACTTGATGCCCTGCTGCCCAGCTGCAACCACCAGCGTGCTGTCGATCGGATTGCACACCGATCCCGGGAGGCACTCCTTGCGATGCAGCCCTTTGCCACCGGTGCGATCAATGTGTCGCGACATGGCTGAGCGACATGGCTGAAAGCCATGTGCACCACTGTTTCCAAGGAGGAAGCCAATTGCAATCATCAGGAACATGCAAACGGTTTTTAGACTCTCCCACTCTTGGTCAATCCAGCTTCACTACAAATACCCCCACCCGTCCGCTGCCCCGGAGATGAAATCGGGCCCCAGCTAGTCATACATGCTGTCCTTTTTACCTGGGGAACCATTTGAATTGTATGAAAAAGGCATTCCCATGAATGGAGGTGGACCCCCTGCCCCAGCATCTGTGTTTGAAAATACCCATTTTGAGACAAAAACACCCCATTGTGATGGGGGCACGCTGATTCTATCAAAGCGACATACCTTCTCACCCGTGGTTTGAAGGGAAACCACGGGAACCCGAAAAGTAATGCTGAGAACGGCTCCCTCGAAGTGCAGGTCGACTTCAAGTTGGACCCTTTTTGTCGAGGGTATTGCTCTTTTGGATCCCTTTAGGAACCCACAGGAAGACTCACCCATTTGAAAGTCCCATAACCCACAAAAGGCCAAGGCGCGGTGCATTGGGGCTGCGCCCTGGAGGTGGCCTGCATGCCCGCAGGGCAGCTGGTGCACTGGGAGCCTTGGCGTGGGACTGAACGGAGCCACTCGGCGAATTTGGGTTTTGAAGATCGCGTGGCAGGCGGATTTTAGGGACTCGACGGGACACAACGGCACGGGACGGGACGGGACGGGACGCGACAGGAGGGGGGGGCACAAGACTTGACAGGACACGACTCGACCTCACGCGATCGCACGGGACGGGACGGGACGGGACAGGAAAGGACTCGACAGGACGCGACTCGACCGCACGCGATCGCACGGGACGGGACGGGACAGGAAAGGACTCGACAGGACGCGACTCGACCGCACGCGATCGCACGGGACGGGACGGGACGGGACAGGAAAGGACTCGACAGGACGCGACTCGACCGCACGCGATCGCACGGGACGGGACGGGACGGGACAGGAAAGGACTCGACAGGACGCGACTCGACCGCACGCGATCGCACGGGACGGGACGGGACGGGACAGGAAAGGACTCGACAGGACGCGACTCGACCGCACGCGATCGCACGGGACGGGACGGGACGGGACAGGAAAAGACTCGACAGGACGCGACTCGACCGCACGCCATCGCACGGGACGGGACAGGACGGGAATGGACGGGATTGGATGGGATGGGATGGCTGCCTCGCTGGAGAAATTAGCCAGCTGCAATTTGGCACATTAACGCTGGGCCAAGCGGCTTCGAATGTCCCGATATTGGCCCTGCATGCAGGGTGAGCAAGGCGTTGTTGGGCCGCCTGCCAAGGGTCAAAAAGAAAAAAAAACAACACCCTGAACACCCCCAAATCCCCCACCCCCCAGGAAGCCAAAGGAAGTCGGCACTCTCTAAAATGTCCGCTACCCAGATGCATAGTTGAGCTTGTCTTTCCTCTGAGTCCCCCCCCATCCCACCCCCAAGTCCCTTAGCTCAACGCGCCTGAGACATTCCGCGCTGCAAAGTCCACCATCATCAGCAGGCTGGTGGTGCGGACCTCGAAGCCCAGATCGCCTGCGACCGCGAGGGTTTCGCGCGGACGGCCTGGACACCACAAAGAAAGATGCATCGAGACAATACGTGCACCACGTATTCCTTTAGCCAACTCAACTGGTTTTTTTTTGAAGGAACCTCCAAGGAAACTCCACTAATATGCAACCCACCAGAGAACCGACTACACCAAGAAGGCGATGCCAGGTGAGTTCATCGATGCTGCTGCTGTTCCAACGGTTTTGTGATGTCGTGCCCGGAAAATGATTGCTGACTCCAGCTGCTGCTTTTCGAACAAATAACTGACACATGAACAGTTTGACAGGAGCTAACAAACAAGACATCTGGCCATCGGTTTCGGACAAACGAAAGACAACTACCCTGAGGCCAAGCCATGCGTTGTGCCACAACGTGCGCACACACGCACAAACTTGTGCCCCAGGTTTAGTCCATTTGGTCGATTCGGCTCGCACAGACACGCTGAGTGTTGACAGGTGTCCCTTGCCTTTCGAGCTAAACCTCCCCCCCAACACGAAGAACTGCGAAGCAAGACGGTGTTGTGACCCCATTAGCGGGTACGCGAATTAGCATCATCCGCATCACTGGCAAGGGCATCCTTGTTGGCTCTCGTCCCGCGCAGGCTCCGCAATCCCTGTTGTTTTCGGGGCACACCACCGTGATCTGAAGAAAACTGTGTTGAGTGTCTTGCCACAGGAAGACATTCACAGGCCTATTTCAAAGCAATCGAACAAAGCCGCCTGAAGAAACCGGCAATCCGGAAATACGAACAGGCAGATCCCACCACGCGTCCCACGAGCCGAGCTGCAAGGATACCGGACGACCTTGCGTTCCTCCACCGGATCCCTCGGATAAACCTCAGGCAGAGTTTGGTGGCTTCCGAACATCCGAAATGGTGGACCCCTGCTTGGTTGTTTAGAGGGAATCTGAAAGGAAACCACCTTGATGAGTTCCCAATTTGCGAAACACCCATGCTCAGTGCACTTTCACCCCTCATTGAGAACGAGGAGACAAGTTCGATTCGACATGTGCCCTGATGCATTGAGGCAAGCAATGCGTTGGGCAAGCTTGCTTCAGGCTATTTCCCCAAGGCCTTCTAGTGGTAGGAAACAATGGCGGTGTTGAAATGCCCAACAGAACCGGAATTGAGACCCCAAATGGCATCTCCAGAAAATTCTTGTTTGCCGGCTGAAACAACGACAACCAACGGCAAGCAACGGCAGCCAACGGCGTCCTTCCCAAAACTTGAGATACGTTAAGTGACAACCAAACTGACTGTCCAACTGGTGTTTTAGTACAGAAAGAGGCCCCTGGGAAAGAAAACCCACCAAAAATTGGCTTTTCGAGGGTTCTACTTAGCAGGTCTTTGACTTGGCCCTTCCACGACAAACCCCAAGACCTCAGCTGGCAGAGGATGGGCCGCCGGACGATGTCGTACAGGGGCTGGTATGTACCAGCCTGGCAGTGGCAAGAGCATGGCTGCCGCGATCTGGTTTTTTCGGGTGCAATCCGGGCCCAAACAAACTTGTTTGAAGAGTGGTGGGCAATAAACAGCTTTGCCAAGCCTTTTGGCCCCGCTGGCATGGGGCAAGGCAAATCCAGCACTCCCGAAGAAACGCCTGCCCAAAAGAAAGCCGCGGGACCTACTGTTGTCCGTCTGTGGGCCTAACAGGTTCCAATGGTTGTCAAAACGAGAAACGACCTCCGTGTTGAATGCTGTAAAAAGAAACCGCCAGGAAACGCTGCAAAAGGCCCAACTGAATTTCACATGCAACCTCAAAGGAAAAAGGGGAGGGCAGGCTGTGCCTGGTTGGGATCGAAGACAGCTCGGGCCAGCAAGGCTACGCCAAATATGCTGATCAAACGCCCGATGTTTGCAGAAATACAGCCCATTGGTGTCCTTTTGCGAGGAACCACGGCATGGATGCTTAACATGTTATTCTAAGAGTCTGACTGAGCTCCTGTCAAAGTTCATGGCAGCCCCAAATGAAAGGGGAATCCAGCAAACTCCTTTTACAGTCCACAAGGGAACATGCCCCATGCCATCCCCTGTACAACACCAAATCACAAGGCTAAACGTTGATCGAAAAACAAAATACTAGATGCAGATTTCTCTGATGTATTCCTCAGGTCCTATTCAGCACGCATGTGCTAAATCAGGGACACCTTGGTAAACCCTTGGTCGCGACGAGCCCCCCAGCGTCGAAATCCCGGCATTGGATCGGAGCAAACCTCCCAACTCCGGCGCCTCTTCCGTCACGTGGACCTGGGCTGGCTAAACAGTGGCCGGGACCACTGTCAAGCAGGTGCAAAGAAACAAAAACAGCTCTAGAAGAGAACACGAAGCAACCAAATGCATCAAATACAACCTGAAAGAAAACGAAAAACGGATTGCGGACCAAGAGGAAACTGCGAAGTCAAAGTCGGCCGGCTAAGAAAAGGCCACAACGCACGGGAACCCGGGAGCTGCCGCCTTGGTTTCAATCCTGGCTCGGCCTCCCCGAAACTGAAGGGCCTGGAGTTTCACGGCCTTTCCAGCAAATGGGGGGGTAGGTCAACCCTGTGAATCTTCGGGGAGGCCAACCATTGGGATGCCCAAGCTTTGATGACCGAATGACATGCGCCTTGGTTTCGACCCTGCATGTGCTGATTCTTGCAAGCTTGCCTGGGCATCTGGTCTACAATCAACCCGGTTCAAGGCGCATGTCAAAGCTCAAAGTCAATGGAAGGGAGGAAGGCTCTGTGAACCGAATAACAGCTGGCAGTGCCATGCTGAAACACACTTTGTTTCGATGATGTTCGAAGCACTCTCTGGTTGATTTGCTGTGTAAACCTACCTCGCCTTCTCACGGTATGAGCCCCCTGGTTGGCTTGCAAACCACCACAACCACTACAACCACCACCATCGCAATAACAACAATCAGTGCATCATTTGGAAACGGGTACACATCGCCTTTTTGCCCCGCTCTCATTCGCTCTCTCTCTCTCTCTCTCCCTCTCTCTCTCTCTCTCTCCCTCTCTCTCTCTCTCTGTCTCCTTTTCTCTCATCATCAATCATCTTTGTCTCTCTCGCTCTCCACCTTTCTCAGACAGACCGCCAACAGCCAAACCAGCTTGCAATTCATCGGCCAGCCAACAAGAAATATCCACCACCACCAAAAAGCCCAAGCAGTTCCCAGCAGAGCCACGCCCTTTAGCACCGGCGTCAACGTGGTGTAGGCCGCCAACGCCTCTGCGCTGAGGGGCTCCACAGGCAGCTGCTGCTGTTGCTGCTGTTGTGGCTGTTGCTGCTGTTGTTGCTGTTGCTGCGGTTGCGTCTGCCTCAGACAAAGGGCCAGGACAACAGTCTCTGAATGGCAACTGTTTCCACAGGTTGGGCCACCTCGACAAAGACGTTGGAGCCACAATTGTTTGAACAAGGCTAGGTCATTGTCTGCGACCTGGGAGGTGGGTCCACTTTCAAGGCTCTTGCTCCGAAAATGCTACAGGCTACAATACACCAATTTCAAGGGCAAAAGCAGAGTGTGCATGTGTGTGTGCATGTGTGTGTGTGATTTTGATGGGCAGCTGCTTGAGGATTTTGGTGCGCTGCCAGGCTTTCTGGAGGCCAGGCTGACTAGCTGCCGTTCCAGCGAGCGTCGGACAGCTGCCAATTTTCATGGACCGCGTTTTTGCATGGAACTACCAAGGTCTTGTCAGTCGCCGAACGCTTTGCCATGTGCCGAACGCGCCAAGATGTGCAGTTCCGGCAGCTGCTTATCCTCACGAGTTCCTGCTAGCTTCGCCAAAAACCTGCACCCAGCGCGCCGCCACGGCGCCTAAGAAAGATTACTGGGTGCACAAGGCCAAAGGTTAAGAAAGAAGCTGACACATGCGACTTGACATGCAATTTTGCACGCAAGCAACGCAGTTTCCAGGAACCAACTCAAAGTAATTGATTTTAAGGAAGCAAACCTGTCCAGTGGAGGAAAGTTTTCAAATATTATATTTTCCTGCTTTAGCCGCGGATGCTGGTGCACATCTGAAAAGAATGCCAGCACCCTGACGCAAAGAGCTCCGCATGCCCACATGCCCGTGTCGATGTTCAGGGCGCAACAAACCAAACTGCAAGACAAAAACAAACAAAAAAAACATGCAAAATCCCGCGGTAAACGCTCCAGCTTAAACAACTCCAGCTTTGAAGCGAAACAGGGTCAGATTGCTTCAACACATCTCCGAACCCTGCTGCCCAAGATGTATGCTCACGGATGAGCACCGCGTCAACAGAAAAACATCCAGCTAGGATACCTTTGATGCGCGACGCTAGGGCTCCACCCTTCATCGCAAGCCTTGTGCAACCCCGTCTCCGGGACCACATCCCAGTGGCCTTTCTCACTAGCCCAAGTAAGCACAAAGTAACATGCAAACAATGTGGCAAGCGAGTTGCCACCGGTCTCTTAGGTGCCGGCAGCCTGCGGGCTTCGGTGAGGTTCATTGCCTTCACATCCAAACAAAGTCCAGGCGTGCACGAAGTGAAACCGGCGCAAAATGATGTGCGACACTCTCCGTTAAACACGCTACTGTAGCTTCGCACGTGCCAAAGCAACACAAAATCGCCTCACCTCGCCACGCCCGGCCTCCAGCTGAGTGGATTCAATCAGGGCAGACGTGAGGAAACCGAAGTCGTCAAAGACGAGGGGGTGGTAGAAGGACTCCTGAGCCGTCAAGGTGTGGACGAAGCCCCGCAGCCAGCCATTATCCATTCCCAACAAAAAACATCCCACGGAACCTGCTTCATGCCGGGGGCTCGGTAAACGCAGGGTATGAAAAAAGCTTGACGCAGGAAAGCCAGTGCACATGTTCAAGGAAGATATGATCCAGTGCGAAGGATAGTGACCAGTTCGATACCTCAAGCTTGCAAGGAACGCTGCATGTTACTACTTTCCACATCCTGCTGAAGGTGAGCACTGCGTGTCACGTGCTACATGTCGAAGCCAACTCAGTTCGCTTCAGGCTTGGGGAGGGAAAAAGACTGCCAGCTCAACATCAGCCCACTGAAACTTTCAACTGAAATCAACGGAAAACCAACTACGGTGGGACGTTAGAAACGGGGTCAAGGGCCGGTTTAGGAGAGGTCGCCGGCGGATGTGGAGATTCTCTCGCCCAAGACTTGGAGAAAACAGGACCCAGTTGGGATGCGTTGGTTGGCATGAGAACAAAAGGATGACTAGCATTGAAATTCAACTGCGAATCTGGCGAGGTATAGTTTCAGAAATGAAGTTTCTGAACTGTGCAAAGTGTCTGCAAGGAAATGTGCGTCGGAGAAACATGGCTGCTCCAACAGGCAAAACAACGAAACAACCAACACCCCTTGTCCATTTCTCACCTTTCGGCCTACTATTTCCATGTCGTATCCACCTTGCACCCTGCTCCAAACCAAGCCAACCAGCATGCGGGGCACAGTCCTTCCCGGTGCCTGAAAGCAGTTCTGTGACCAGGGCCGTCAGCGTGTCGCCTGCAGTGTCTCGAACATCCAAAAATCGTGATTTCCGCTTGGATTCCCTGCAAACCAAACTAGACCACGGTTGGCCCGAAAGCATCACAGCCCGGAGATCATTCCCGCGCAGGTTTTTTGCTCGATGTGGTCACGAGCAACACACAGCAACTAACCTTGTTCCTGCTTATCTTGCCACCTATCGGACCCCCCCTCACACGAGGTTGCCAAGCACGTCAAAGATGACACATATACCGCCCTCGAGCAAAACAGTGACTACAACGCAAGTGAATCTCATGATGATTCTATGCAATGACTCTCATGATGATTCTGCGCAATGACTCTCACGATGACTCTGTGCCATGACTCTCGCGATGACTCCGTTCAATGGCTCTTGTGTGATGACTCTATGCAATGGCTGTCGGCGCAACGACTCTCATGATGACTCTGTGCAACGACTCGCGCGATGACTCCGTTACATGACTCGTGTGTGACGACTCTATGCAAGGCTGTCATGATGACTCTGTGCAACGACTCTGGTGCGATGACTCTACGCAATGGCTGTGATGACTCTGTGCAATGACTCTCATGATGCTTCTGCGTGATGACTCTGCGCAATGACTCTCATGATGATTCTGCGCAAGGACTCTCATGATGATTCTGGGCAATGACTCCCATGATGACTCTGTGCGATCACTCTCGTGATGACTCCGTTCAATGACTCTTGTGCGATGACCCTATGCAATGGCTGTCATGATGACTCTGCGCAATGACTCTCATGATAATAATTCTCCCAACGGAACACCTGACTTTTGGTCTGCCCAAGTTCCCCTGCGCTAGCTGCTATGTGCAAGCGCTCTGCTCAATTTGCTTTGCGCAGGTTGCTCTGCGCAAGCGGCAGCGCTCTGTGCAAGTACCGCGCGACTCCGAGAGCAGCCGCGCAAACCACGCGACAACTTCCAAAGACCGCTTCGCAAGCAACAAATTCGCACGGCGCCACAGCGAGAGAGCTTCTACACGCATATTCAGAATTGAAAACCCCAGTTTTTGCACATCGATCACGCCGATCCCCGCAGAGGGTTCATCCTGGAATGTCAAAATCGTAAAAGGTCCTCAGTTTATTGACCTCGACCACACGAATCTCCGCAGAGGGTCGCGCGCGCACCGCAGAAATCGTAAAAAGTCCTCAGTTTTTTGACCTCGACCACACGAATCTCCGCAGAGGGTCGCTCGCGCACCGCAGAAATCGTATAAAGTCCTCAGTTTTTTGACCTCGACCACACGAATCTCCGCAGAGGGTCGCTCGCACAGATCAGAAATCGTAAAAAGTCCTCAGTTTTTTGACATCGACCACACGAATCTCCGCAGAGGGTTGATTTTCGTAGAGTGCTGTCGGCCCTACCCCGCCGCCCTAAGAAGAGAGGAAAAGAATTTTTAAAACTCGTCATGAGTGAGAACTCTCATGAGCATTGCTCCTCGCCAGTGACTCTCACGAGCATTGCTCCTCGCAAGTGACTCTCATGAGCATTGTTCCTCGCCAGTGACTCTCTGCTATGACTCTGTGCAATGAGCCTCATGATGATGATGATGATGACTCTGTGCAATGACTCTGATGATGATTGATAACTCTTTGCAATGACTCTCATGATGATAACTCCCATGAATCCAACGGAAGAACCCTTCGCCATGCTTTCGGGAAAAACACGTGTGCATGGCCGCGACCAGTGCTCGACTCGAAACGATGCCCGAGGCCCCTGCCCGTCGTCGAGCTTTGGAAGGCATTTGGCACTAGGTAGGTCCTCGGGGCTGTCTGCAATCAGCGGACCCAGTGCCCAAAGCCCTCTCGCACGAAGGCGGCCATGCCCAATAACACACCCCCACAGCCCAGGAGTCAGGCTCCTAAAACCTAGCCCCGACAGGACCACCCTCCTCATCAACCCAGCCGACCGAGCTTCTCAAACTGTCAAAACACTGGTTAGTGGACAAATCCCCACCTGAATCCACAGCCCCCACTTCAATTTCACTCCCAGCCAATCGGAACTGCCATAGATTCCTCCCAATCCCAACCTAAACGGCAATTTTTTTGAGACTTAAGCCCAAAACGACTTGTAGCCTTGGGAAACGCGCCGAGGCGCGCCGCCAGCAGCGCGGCCGCCGCCTGCGCCGCCAGCAACGTGGGGTCGCTGCCGAAGAGGCCTCTCCAGTCGGCTCGGGTTCTCGTGGAATTGTACAAAAAGAGCCAAAGATTGATCCATCGGGCTGGGACCCCAAGGCCTGATTGAAAAACGAGCTAGAATGGCTGATGAAATGTGGCACTTGGGGTTCATGGCGACACCACGGCATCTCCAGCCATAAGAAGAACAAGAAGCACAAGCACAGTGGTATGTCTCAAAATGAAGAACACTTTTGCATGTGGTTTACCAGCAAAACTACACATATACCAACCACCAGGAGAGGCAACTCCTGGCTTTGAGCACGCATTGAGCGTTCCCCACTCTGTAACGCCAACCCGAAACACGGTACTCATGATGACAGAAGCCCAAAAGTTGGTACGTATTTTGCCGCCCATATTGCCCTCAAGAAGCCTTTGGAGGTTCCCTTTGGTTCCCTTTTGCTTTCCCCGCTGTTCCCCGCCAGCCCCCTCTTTTTTTGGTAACTCCAAAAGGACACACGGCACACGCGGCCGAAGTCCGACTCGCCTTTGAAGCTCGTGAAGAAGTCGGCCCTGGTGAAGGTAGCACAGCCGGAATCGAGCATCAGATTGCAAGGCCTCGGCTTTTGGTTTGGGGGGCCAGCCACAACCTTGATTTTGTGGGCTGTTTAGCACTCAGAAAAGGAAGGGCTCGATTCAATTTGGGATCCTTGCTCTTAATCACCCCCCCCAATGTGTCTGTGTGTGTGTGTTTGTGTTTTTTCCACGGGAACGATTTGAAAGCAAGAGACAAGGAAACCTCTTTAGGGGCGAGACTGGCTTCTCTTGGGCCAGTGGAAGTTGTGGCAAACTCAGCAGCTTGAGACACACCCATGTCGCCCAAACCGCGGCCAAGTAGCTCTAGCCGAGTGCTCCTCAGCTCGGGAAAATCGTGTCTCCACTCAGGGAACTCGAAAATTGGACGCTCCAAATGGTGGGTTTACACATTGTTCATTTTTTGCCATGCCAAAGACGTCTCAAAATGGGGGGGGGCCTAATGGAGAAACATGCAAATCGATCAAAGGTCTGATTTGCGGTCTGATTTTGGCTCGTATCCTTCAGTTGTGTTGACGATTCTTGTGTTGTCAACCGGAGGGGTGGGAATCGGATTGTCCCCCTGGTGTTTGGACCAAAAACACTAACATGATCTTGCACTGGGGCATGATTGTTAACTGGAGTGGGCGTTGGCTTTTACCAAAACGATCAGAAGCGTTGCAACAGGCCGTAGTGTTGTCCCTGTCAAGACAAGGAAGACGAACCCCCTACTAGCAACGGCCATCACAGGTGCGTTTTGTGGGCGTTGCGCACATGCTATGATTGTGCGTCCATGAACCTCTCTGTGCATGGTGCCCAATGCGCTCCCGAAACTCCCGAAACTCCCGTGCTCCGAGGCGCCAGACCTCGGAGCCCAGGACGTTCAAGGCGCTGGCCGCCAACAAGGTCCCGGAGAAGTCCGCGTGCTGGGACTCCCACGCCACGACGGCCTGGCGGAGCCGCCACGGCGCCGGCCGGCCCGGAGCGGGCGATTGAAACGGGCGATGGAGGAAGAGGAAAAAGACCGAGTTGCCGATTAAACGGTTTGATCAAGAACCACGGGGTGAAGAAAGGCGCGAATGGGAATATTTGGGGCGAGGTAAGATTTTGTGGCACGAAACATCAGCCACCTACAAATGGACAAGGAACCCTACATTTGATCCGCCATCTTCACTAACCAATCCTGCACCTGACACGCATTACAACAGCCCTTAGCCAGGTTGAAGACATCTGGTGGCGCCACCTAGGAAAATGAAACGGCTGCTGAATATCAGCTTGTTGGAGATAGATGCACAAAGCAGCCCGGCAAGCATGCACCGGGCCCCGATGCACAAACTGCCCCCTTTGAGGCGAGCGAAAAGGCACTGAAGAGGAATTCCTGTCTTGAGATGCAGATTCAACAGCAGAGATGGAGAGAGGGAGGGGGGGGAGGAGGGGACAGAGCGAGGGTGGGAGGGAGCAAAGGCGGGAGGGGAGGGCGGAAGGGCGGGAGAAAGAGAGAGAGAGAGAGAGGAAAAAATAAATGAAAAAAAAAAAACAATAGCTGCATCTCGTGCGATTCCCGTCGTACCGCCCAGTGCAATCCTTCACCAAACAAAGAGTTCCAATCCTCGTACCTTTTAAGACAGGACACGATCTGTAGGGCGAATCCCAGATGGAAAGCTCGCGGGCTTTGTGCTCGCCCATTGCCTTGGGGCTGAAGTGGATGAAATCCATCGCCATCATAACTTCGACGCCCATTTTGTAGTCCTCAGTGTGTGGTGTGGAACCAAGGACCTGGGCGGGTCTTTGCTTTAGGCGACCCAGATAGGGGTTGTCCAAAAAGGAAACCAAAGAGAAAACTCCCATTGTCGGGGGTGGTCAGATGGTTAAGAACATAGCAGTGCCTGCCGCCTCAGGCAGGCCAAAGCGACACATTCGGCCAAGCATCGCCACAAATGATCACGGCATCTGGACCTCACGCAAAGCGGGCCCCATAATAACATGAAGCCTGAAGTAACCTTCAACCATAAGCCGAAAATGAAAACAAACCCAAAGTGGAAGGGAGGATACACTTCTGCCAGCTTCCGCCATCTCCTGCAGCCAAAGTGCTGATGGCAGCCATGTGCCTGGGGAGCAACGGGGCTCTCTGTGGATTGCCAGCAAAGCCAGCTGGGGATTTATACCGCCAGCCATCTTGGATCCGAACTTCCCATGAACATTCACTGTCAGCTCTACGTGTCTTTCTTGAAGCCCCCGTAGTTTGAGACACGCCGATACTCTGACAGAGCCCGTCAGCATACTCAAAGGCTCTAAATCAACCCTTGCCCAACTCAACGCTTGACGAGCAAATGGTTTCTGGAGTCTCCTTGCAGGCTTTAGTTTCTGGATTCTCTCTTGCTGGCAAACGCCCCAGCATCATCATGATCAAACTATGTTGGATGGTGCAAAGGGCAATTGCAGAATATGTAAAATTGCTGAGTGCTTCTGCTGAATGTGCAATAACCAACACGCATTCACGTTTTGAAGACAGGACCCTTGGCCTCCCCAGTATCCTTTGGGCGGCTTGGGAGTTGGCTGGTTCTGTTGCCGCTGTTGCTTTGGAGCTTTCTTGGCTTGGTAGTTCAAACTTCCCACGCATGGACTGGCAACACGAGTGCTCTGAGATCGCCTTTTCACTGGGACTTCCACGCATCCCCGATGTCATCAATGTTGGATACTCAAACGGGGTTTATCGCAAAGCTGTTCCTTTGGTCTTCAACGCGTGCAAAAAGAATGCGCTGACCCAACATCTTTGCCTTCTACTGTTCGCCGGAGCGTGAACGTAAAACAAGTGTGGGAAGCTTGACATTCATTGCAGCGCCCGATCCATAAGCTTTGCTGGGATTGCTCAAAACGTGACATGTGTACTGACCCTTGTCTTGTTCAGTTAAACCACACACACATGATTGATTTGATGCTTTAGTGGCTGGCATAGCAATGTACCTCGTGCATCATGAAGCAACAGGATAGCAGGTCCAAATGCTGACGTATTCGAACAGGCGACGGAGCCCTTCGGCATGATCTGTGCCACACAGACCCCAAAAATACATTGCCAATCCGCAAATGCCTAGAATGATGGACATGCCGACTTCACAAGCCGTACAGAATCAACAGCCTTGGCTATTGCATGGGATCAAAGCAAACTGCTCCGCCCGCCCGCCCGCCTGACATCCACGAGCAAGCGCTCCTCGGCTGTTTTACCTGATCAGGGTCGATGTGCATATGTAAATGTAAACAAACACGAACCTATTCATATATGCGTATTGATTCACTCCTTTATCTAGTTGTCTATCTATTTACGTCTTTGTGGATTTATCTATTGAACTATTCATTCCTTTATGTATATACATATAATCATACATATACAAGTAAAGGTATATGTACAAATACGAATACAAATACAAATTCAAATACGCCTACACACACAGAAACTCATGTAAAAACACATACAAATATACGCACACACACACATATGCATATATCGGCATATACATACATATGTATATGTGTACAAAAGCGTGTACGTATGTGTACATATATATATATATAATATGGACACGCATGCTGAAGAGCCACACATACCTGGATAAGCTCAATGTGTCTATACATTCACGTGTCACATAACTTAGACATATGTACAGGTGCACCCCACCCCAACCCACCCCACAAACGAAAAGTTGAAATTGATCTGGCAGCACTCCCAAAATGGCTTCTAGTCGCTCAGTTGGTTGTTCTTCACGGTTCAGCTCTTCCTGCCGATGAGTTTTTTTATTGTGCGCCTTTGCTGGATTTGGTTACGCGTGTCCAGCAATTGTGCAACAACTGTGCATCCATGAGGGGGTAGCACATGTGTGACTATGTATGGACCATCAAATTCCCATTAAATGCAATTAATTTCCAGAAAAATCGTACTTGAAATAAATTGTGAAAGGAATCCTACTTAGTTATGAGTAAAATAGACATTCAAAATTCAAATATGTCCTTCTTGAGTTTTATCAAAATTATAGTTAGATCTTCAGATGACTCTTGTTGAAAGGAGTTCGCAATTTATATCATGATTAACATACAAGTTATATTTGAATTGTTGTATGTTTTAGTTCTATTCGGTATTCATGGTTTAATTGAACATAGAAAGTCTAATGGAACTGTGTCTTTATGAAACTGCACGTGTATTCTACTAGTTAATGATATTTTAAACATCACATGTGGAAAGAAATTCCCCAAATCCTGATTTAGAATGGACTTCACAATTGAATGAGTCCTTTATCAAATTACATTCAAAGTCCAGCCAAACTTGAATTAGAATCCAATTTGTGACAAGGAGCCTTATAAGGAGCATTGAAAGGTTATAAGGAGCTTTATAAGGAGCCCCTTTGAAGGAAGCTTATAAGGAGCTGCATCTTTGTAAGGAGCTTTATAAGCCTTATCGGGAGTGTTCTAACGAGCTTTTGTTTTTGAATCATCACAACAGTATCGATGTATTGTTGGGTTTTTGGGCTGCAGTTAAATGCGAAAAGCAAAAGAAACCTCAAGTTGTGTTTTTCTCGTTTTAGGTCTGATATACTCCAAAAAACTAAAAACATGTGGCAAAAGGAAAAGGCTCGAGAGAAAAAACAAAAATAATACTGTTGGCAAAAACCAACACTTGTCCTCAAACGTTTGTTGTGCTTTTGGTTTTCTCGAGTTTTGTTTTGTGGCGGTCCCTAAAAACTGCCAAGAACCAAAAGGCCTCGAGTTGTTGCTTGTTCTTACTCCAAAAAACAAAAAGATTGAAAAAACAAAAACACATAAAGAATAAATAAAGAAACCACAAACTCCAAAAACCTTTGGCAAAACCAAAGTTCTCCCCAGAGCATTGTTTCTTGGATCTCTCGAAGTTGTGTTTGGTTTTTGTGGTGCTCCCATGAAATGTCAACCGTGAAAGGGGGAGGAAAAAAAAACAAACATCGAGTTGTGGCGGTACTCCAAAAACTAAAACAGACTGGCGGAAAAACGAACAACAAAAACAAGGAAAGGCAAAAAGGTGTGGAAAAGCCACAAGTATTCCTCAGAATTGTGTTTGGTTTGTTCGTTTTCGGTCGTATGCATGCTCTTCTTCTGTTCTGTGCTTCATAGTCTCCGGCACGCGATTTTCCCCAACTTAGGTGTTTTGTTCACATAGTTGCACCAAAAACCGTGGCAAACTGTTCACAATTGGCGCAATGCAAATCCAAAGCGGATTTTTAATGCTGTAAATGTCTTCTGATGACAAAAAGCATGGAAAAAAACAGAGCATCGTTGATACGTATTCGAGGCGTAGTTCATGGGACGCTGACCATCCATGTGTTTGTGTGAGGGTGGATTTGTGGCTACATGGGGCATACATCACGATACAAGTGTTCACCACTCTTCCACACAAACACCCCCAGCCTTTGTGGCGGAGTACCACCTCCATTCCCAGTGCTGCAGCCTCATCTGCCTCGCTGGAAAGGAGCCGAGCGGCTCCAACTTGCATGGAAGAATGCAAGTGTCCCTAACTTCTCTGACTCCTCTCACTTTGTCTTTGTTTCGGTTCTTTTCTCTTGAAGCAGAAGAACCGGCATGCTCGTGAGCTGCGCGTTGCAAGTGCTGCGTCAGCAGCGCTAAACAGCTCCGCCTTCCCGTGCTTGGCTGCTAGGCCAGCGATGGATATCGAGAAAGAAAGAAAGAAAGAAAGAGAAACAGAACTGGTCAGGACACTTCAGCATCAGCCGATAGCTAACTGGACAACAAGAACACGCCCACCAAAGAAGCGACCCGAACTCTGGGTGAAACATCGCGCCATGTAGCTTCAAAGGCGCATTGCTTTATACTGGGGGTGGTGATGCTTGTGCGCGGTGTTGATTTGGGTTCCTGCTTCCCCTCGCAGGCACGCTTTGTGTGGCCGAGCTGCTGTGCCGTTGCACATCAGCGAATAGAACTCGTCCTGGTGTTCCCAAAGTGCCAGTGTCCGGGCTCCTGCGAGGCAGGTTCCAGAGCTCCTGTCTTTTAAGCCGAACGGCCGAACCACAAGACGCCATTCTTCTCCCCCAGGAACACTCGACATAACCTTCACAAAGCTCTTTAGGCCGTGCGGTCTTGCGTCTGTCGAGCGAGGGCCCCTTGGCCACAAGGTCATCATGGTTCGCTTAGGAACCGTATTTGTTGGTCCAAAACCCTCAAAAGATTGATGACCATCCCAAACAGCCCGTGAAGGGGTCTTACCATGGCATACCTGAGACCTCATTCTACTTCTCAGGGGGCGCCATTTCGGTCGGTCCTTTCTGATAGGCCTTCCACATGGGCATCTTCAAGAGGTCATAAGGAGGCACCTCCTTGCTCAGCGTCACATGCATATGTGAGCTACAGCCGCTAGTTGCTAAATGGTTGAATGGTCAGGTGTTCCCACCCCGTTCTCCAACCTTGCACCCGTGTGGACTCATTCACCTCGTTTTCCAACGCTGCATGTGTTTGTGATCTCAACCACCTATATGTCATGGCCCTGCCTGCTTTTGAGACAGCAATCAAGACAGCAATCAAGAAACGTTTCCGCCCGGCCTCTATTGTAGTCTTCTGAAACGCAGTCACTCATATGGATGCAATTGTAAATACCATGTCAGAGAAAAAAAAGAAACAAAACAGGGGACAGAAACAGAGACAAAGGCGGAGCCAGAGACAGAGGCAGAGACAAATAGGCAGGGACAGAGGCAGAGACGGAGGCAGAGACAGTGACAGAAGCAGAGACAGAGACAGAGACAGCAATCAAGACAGAGATGAACCCAGAGACAGAGACAAAAAAAACAGAGAGAGAGAGAGAGGGAGAGAGAGGGTGAAACATAACACGAAGAAGAGTCGCATGTACGCATCTATGTATACTTTTCCAGCTAACAATGGGAAATATTCATCTTGACATGGGTGTCTTTTTGAGGGTACCCTATTTGGGGTGGTTTTAAAGGGAAGCCAAAAGCAAAACCCACCATTTCAGGGTCTCCTAAACAAAGACACACCCACATGTTTAATACACCCAACCGACAAACAATCAAGGGACCTTGTATGTGGCTGGTTAATTATTCAGGTACCAAGCAGGTAAGTACAGTCTGTCATCAGAAAATGAATGAATCTATCCTGGTGCGGAAATTGACGCAGTTGCGCATTTCCTTGTTCCTATAAAGAAGTATGCTCAAACACAGGCTTGAAATATCAAACTGGAACCGACCAAATGATTCTGGGAGGCGCCGGAAAAGGAAAACGCCAACTGGGTGGCCAGGAGTATCAGAAACAACTTGATGAAGCAGCAAATCCAACAAGACACAAAGCCGTTGGCGTGGGCCCGAATTTGGACCCAAGCTTCCCGCACCCCCAGTGAGTATCCCAATACCCACTAAAATGACTAAAATGGGTGGTGCACCTACCCCAGAATGGTACCATTGGTTTTGACCAATAGCCATGTTGGTAGAAAGCAACGTCAAGTTTAACCAAACATTGGCATTGAGCAGGGCAGCTTCCAACACCTGGCCGAGGCGCTAAGGAAAACACTGAAGTCGGGCTTTGGCTCCTTTGCAGCGCCTTGGCTCAAGGCGCAAGAAGACTTGGCCCAAGATGCCTCCATACCTCCCATTGTGCACGCATGCAAAACGACGGGACCGTTGAGGGGAACCTGTTGCGTCTGCTTGTACCACAATTTCTTCTCGAGGAATCCAAATGGGTCACCATTTCTCTACAATGCCCGGTGGTGGTTGCCAATTGTCAGTCGGGTTTGTGGAGATGCTCTGGCAATTGGAGCCCTTGGAGGAAACAATGGGGAGTGTCTCCGACCTGTGGATCAGCTTCGAAGCAAAGCCAAGAGGATGACTTGAATTGGGTGCAGCTGTCCCTTTGCTCAGCATAGGCGCGGAACTACCGAGGAAGAGACTTGCAAAGGTGATAAGAGAGAGCAAGAGAGAGAGAGAGAGAGAGAGAGAGCGAGAGTGACAGCAAGAGTGTGTATGTGTACGTTCGTTGGGGGGAAATTAGTGAGGTAAGTCATTCAAAGATATGGTCCACCAGCAATCTAGGCAAGTGACGAATGACAGGCGCCGCGATCCAAAACAAAACAAGAGCCTGGGTAGTTCAATCCGTTTTTTGCCGGATATGGCAGGGGTAGTGGCCAAAGTGCCGCTGTGAAGAGACGGAATGCGTCCTCCTTGACTAGAAGGCCAAGGTAGCCGTGCAGTGTTTCCTCAAATGCTACTACTGTCCTAGGCAATTTTTATATCACCTGTTTGGAACCCCCAAATTGGTGGTGGAAAGACGAATCACTATTGGCTCTGTTGACCTCAAGACAAAAAGGCCATGCTCCCGAAGCAAACAGCAAGCCGCAAGCCACTTGAAGACAAGATTCTTGCAAGGAGACAAACGGCAGCATGAGAACCTTGCTGTTGTTGCTGGTGATACTTGCCGCCACCTCAGTTGCGCACGCACACTCGCACAGCCGGGCATAGCAAGGCACCAAGCCCCACTTGACATCAACATCCGTCGTGCTCTTGGAATTGTTGCCACGTGATTTGCTCGTCTCTTCCTACAAAATGGCCTTCTACCCAGTGTCCGGCCCGCAAAATGGCGTGGCTCTTGTGGGCCAAACACACCCCATGCGTTCTCCGGGCCCTTAAAAACAGCTGCCTTCGTGGAGCGACCCTACCCTCCCAGCTTGGCCTCAGAGAGCTCGCGGGTGATCGGCCCCACGAAGACCTGGAAGCCCTGGAGGATGGCCCGAAAGAGGCGGGGGTTGCGAAGAACAAAAAAGGAACCTGTGTGCTCGACAATGGACAATGTAACCAAGTCTTTCGTTATTGACATGACGATGAGACGGAGACAGACACTGGCAGACAGAGACAGACAGAGACAGACAGGAGTGGACTTGGCGGCGCAAAATGGCGCAAATGCTCCGTGAATGGGGCCCTCTCTGTGCTTCCGGCATAAAGGCAGCAGGCTGAAGCCAGATGCAGACTCGTCGAATCTGGTGCTAGAAATCCCGTGAGGCCGGTGGCAGCTGCACTGCAAGCTGCACATCCAGGGCCTGGTTCTGGCTGATCATGGTTTCGTAGAGGCCTCGGGAGTGCTTCATTCCTCGCAAACCTGAAGATCCCCCGAGTCTCCGAAAAAGGTGGTAAGTTACCGCCAGATACTGGCCAGAGTTGGGGAGGGACCTCCGAAACTCAAGGTATTCCGAGATTCTCCTGTCGAAGAACCCCCCTTTGAAACGAGAGCCCCCCCTTCTGCGGGAAAATGCCTCACTTTCCGGACGTACTTGATCTGCAGACAGCAGAAACAAAAAGGGCAGGTGATCCAAAACTCCCGGATCCTCCGCAGGTCATTGGCTGAGGGCCATGGAACCTATTGATAAGCACAGGGCCGTGAGATCAAGCGACACTTGCCATTGGGGAGCTCAAGACAGACATTGCCTCCTTGCAGCCTCGCAGCTAGTGAGTCTGCTTGCGTCCCCAGCGTCATCCCGGATATCCAGGTTCACGTTGAGCGTCTCAGATTAGAAACATCATTTGCATCTATAACATGGTTGGTGCCCTTGTGGACAAGCAATGTGTTCTTCATAGTTGCTTTGCAAGAAGCTTCAAGCAAAGCCTCGCTCCTGGCATACCATGTCAAGGTAAAAGGCTGACTTGCCTGTCTCCTCTTCCAGAAAGAGAACTATCAATGGTCGAAACCCAAATTGCTAAACCTCTCCTAGCCTTTGGATGGGAGGGTGCTTCTGCACCTACCCCTCTTGCTGACCAGACCCATTGTCAATTTTCACCCGGGGTTCTCACTAGAGCCTCCGGTGTGCCTCAGCTCAGAGAGGCAAACTCTTCCCAGGACCCGGGGTCCGGGAAACATGAAGCGCAAAGGCGCACCAAAACGGCCATTGCTCTGAAAGTATCTCGCCAAGGATGTCCATAGAACCAAGACCGAAGCACCAGCACAGCTCGGAACGAAGGGATCCCGCACCGTGCGTAAGCCCGATCGCCCAACCCTCGGCTCGCACAATAGCCCTTCACCCCTGCTTCAGCTGGGGTTCAGCGACATCCTCAAAGAAACACCCTCCAAAGGGTGGCTTGGGGGGGGGGGGGGGTTCCACCCCACAACCCAGAAGTTGTTTTTTAGAACAGGGCTCTCAACATGCCTTGCTCGGCGCAGTCGCTGCTTTCGCCGAGTCGCTTGGCCCACACTTGGCATCAGCTGCTGCAGGTAGTGAGCCAGCTGGAGGCCTGGCGCTCGGTCGAATGGGCAAACCTGCGGAAGGTTCGCCGGTTCCATGGGAACTGCGAGCATCCCAAAGGTATGGGAACATGCAATGGCTTCAGGGAGCGTTCCCGCCATGGACGTACTTTCAACAAGGAATGGCTTCCAAGGTAAGGGTTCATGGACGTACGGACATGGATCGATCGGCAAGTGGGACGGGAATCGTCCCGGGACAATTCCCGGCGCCCCCTTCGGAAGTGACACCACTTGCCATGCGACTGCTGCCAGCACCACTCTCGAGGAAAGCATCAGCCTTCAAGGCTTCAGGGCCTTTGCATCCAATGTTTCCGGGAGCGAATACCGGACCTGAAAAACAAAAAAAGCATCCTGCTATTCAAGTGCCCTTGCAAGTTCAGATCCCCACACGGAAAACTGGAACAAACACAAATGGAAGAGCCTCTCCCATGGTGGGTGTGTGCAGCCGTGGCAACCCTGCGAAATATTTAGGCATCAACTTTAATTGGGGACCCTCTTATGGACATCTCTTACATGGAGATTCATGCCCGCGCGCCGCAACGTGACGGTGTTCCAACCACAAAGACCAATTGCCCTTCGATCCGAGCAGAATCTGCATGTTGACGGAAGTTTTGAGCTGCCGGCCAGAAACTCCTGGGCGCGCCTCTCAACGCCTCCAAGGATGCAGCTGCATTTGGCCCAGACAGGCTCAGCGTGCCGCTGACTGTGACATTCACCACCTCAAGAGAGGCCCGGCTCACGGAAACCAGCGAGCCCTCTCTTTCAGGAGGGAAAGCAAAAGAAAAATGCAGGGCCAAACATTCGATCCGCCGAGACCAACAAATTGGGAGACTGGCTTTTGGCCATCGAGTGGAAAGTACGACCCGAAGCGCAATCATGATATGTCTATTTGAACTGAGCACGGAAACAGCAAAACACATGTCCAGCAAGCGCAGGCGCCTAGCAGAGGCTGAAAGGAGCAGAAAGGGAACATTTGTGAAAATAAATGTATGGTGCAGTGCATTCCCACGCGGATGAGAGAAATACCGAATACCGCTCAAACATGTCGCAAAGTAGAGGAACCCAAAACAGATGGATGTCCTTGATTGTTGAACAACACAAAAAGGGTATCCTCGAAAACGACACAGCCTTTGTAGAAAAGTTGGCCAAACAAATGCTGCAAGAGGTTGTGTCACTTGCAACACAAGGAAACCTGGCGCCTGCTGTCAAACTCCAGCTGGTTAGTCATTCAGGGCAGCCAAAGAGTTTGCCTACAATCTGCCAGGCAAAGATATTTACGTGCCTTGGCCAGCCAGGAATGAAATTGCATCAAATGCGATGACAAAAAAGCCGTGTTAAGAATCATGACTTACCCATCTCTAAGCAAGAACCGCTGCCCCATCATTGTGCCAAGTGAAAGCTGCACGATGCACCTTCCCTTTGGGGCAACTGCAGTCTGTTGGCGCATGAGAAGACTCCAGCCCCGTTGCTGCCGCCTGCGGCTGCTGCGACCCGCCACCGGGGCCGCCCGTATCGCCACCCTGCGGCTGGCTGACGCACACCTGCCGATGCCAAGCCCTCCACATTTCCAAGATGGCAAACTGCCTTCCCGGATCCCCAGACTTGGCTTTTTGTAGAAATCGATGGTTGATGCGCGTGTATTTGCTTTGAATTGTCGGCATGTCAGCCCCAGGCAGAACTCAAAGACAGTCCACACGGATTGACTCGCAATCGACCGTGGCAGAACTGCTCTTCCCATGGCTTTGAGTAGATGCAGAGATCGCACCTCAGGGACGTGCAGCATTGCGGCAACAAGGGATCCTCTGTGCATCCGCTTCATGATTGTTTGCACTGCTTCCCTGCCATGCCTAGCAGGCTCACCTTTCGTGGCAAAAAGCATGCACAGATTGCTGGCCCATCGACAAATCATAAAGCACTTTGAGTCCGCTTTCAGACTGTCAGACCCAGGCTCCCCCCCACGTTCCCCCAGCCCTGCCTGCGCATATGCAAGCAGAAAGGCCCAAAGGCCCCTTCCAGTTATTGCCATCTTCGCAAACTGTCGGCCATGGGTAGAAGCGGCTAACCAACGCAGCGCACCGGCGCACCTAAGACAAAGGGAATCCTTTTCGAGTTCTGCCGGTGTCGGTCTCTAAGCTGTCATATGCGGAGCAGCTTTCCCGGCCACATGTATGCTGCTCGGTTCAAAGCCATAACAGGCTCCATATGCCCACCTCTCAGAGCCGCGAGACTGTCGTGTTGGACCCTGGTACTGTGCCGAGCATGTCTCAGCGATCAGCCCATGGGCTTCTGCATGACCGCAGTTGCACAACCGTGTCAGCAATTCTGAGCCGCGCCGCTCACATGATTTGCTTGACATATGCATTTCATTCTGATCATCTGCGATGATTGTGTGATTCAAAAGTTTGATGCACTCATCGTCCCATGGATGAGCGAAAACAGTCCTGATAGGACAGCAGCCCACAAACAGGGCCGAAAAAGGGAAACTAGATTCTAGATGCACCTGAATTCTTGTCACTCCAGCCACCAGAATCCTACCTTTGCACGATTGGGGACTTGATAATCTGCTGGGCCAGCCCTACCCAACTGGAACTTGCCCCGAACCATGTGCATCACAAAGCAGCTCTCGGGCTCGAGCAAGTCTTCCGCATCCGCTTCCTCTGTCGCCGTGTCGCTGGAGGCCGTGAGCTCGCCAACTTCGGAGCGGCTGGAGTTTGGGCTGAGGCTGGGGTTGAGGTGGAAGACGTGGATTGGCGGCAGTGGCTCGGCTGCAAATGGCCAACAAGGCCGCACCGGCTCAGCAGGCTCCGGAGACTCCGCAGGCTCCGGAGGCTCTGAAGGCTCTGAAGGCTCAGGGGGTGTGGGCTCATCGTTCGGCTCAGGCCGATCCTTTGGTGCACTGGCGCCTAACCTAGCAGCGGCAGTGGCGAGAGGAACCACACCTTGAAAGCTATGCCGCCTATTGACTTTGGGCTTTGACGGCTCCCTCGGCGGGGGCCAGCCGGTTTGGGGCACCCGCGCCAGTGCCGCCAGCGCTCCACGCGCTGCCCGCAGCTGCGCGCTTGCGCGACGGGCGGCAGGTGGTGGCAGGTGGCAAGCCGAGCCCCGGCGGCTCACGCTCGGCGCACTCTGCGCTTTGGGCCTGGGGCCTAGGGCTTGGGGCGCGTGTGGCCCATGGGGCCCATGGGCCTCCCGCATCTGCCGCTTGCGCAAAGGCAGCGTCGGAGCGGGCCCCTTGATCTCTGGCAGCTGCACCTCGCTCTTTGCTGCAGAGGCAGGGGATAACCCCTGCAGAGTCGCCAAGACATCCTCGGATAGCAAAGAAGCTGAGGTGGGAGAGGGAGAACCCAATGTCGACCAGACCTCCTCATGCTCTGAGGAAGGTTTCTCTCCTGCTGGGTGATGACCCCCACATGCTGCAGAGGTTTCAAGTGCAGAAGTCTCCTGGCACGCAGGCGCCTCCAGTGCCGGAGGGCTCTCCTCCCCAGGAAGCTCTTCAGAGGCAGGGGAAAGCTCCTTGCATCCCGGCCCCCACGAAGATCGAGCGCCATCAATCCCAAGCTTACAAAGCTATCTCAAAATCTGCTTGGTCTCCTGTGCAAAACTTCAAGACCCGAATTTCAAGTCCGCGAAACGCAACACTAATTGTCACAACAATCTGGCTGGAGCCAAAACCAATAGATCCAAAGCTCGGCAGCCAGGTTGGCTTGAAGGAAAACCACTATTTCCGATGATACGGGATATGTCTGCAAAATGTGCCTTCCAAACAAAAAGGGCACGTCCATGCTTGACCGTAGTCGCAGGAGGGGCAAATAGAAAGCCTACCCGCCCGAAATGGGGCAATCACACCAACATAGACCCCGGATAGCTTGATGCTTGGCAAACGGCGCATTCCCTTTCAGGAGGATAAATTCAAAGCTCGCCCAAAACGGGACAATGTCTGTGTCATTTTTTGTTGGCATTGCAGTTGTTCCATTTCCCGGTAATTGTGGGGCCGTTGCGGAGGACACCATCCCGCCCACAGCTACGGAATTTCAAGACGCCACGCAGCAAAACACGCTATTAACACAAAAATATTTCAAGAAGAAAGAAAAAAGAAGGGAGACAAAAAAACATGCCCCCGCCTCGCTCCAAATGCTCTCTACGCTCTCCACGTGCTCCCGGCTATCCAACTCGGTGCTGACGCTGCAGCTGCGCCGCTCCTTCCGCGTGGGCCTTGGATCGGTTCAAAGCACAGGGCGCTGGTCTCGTTGAACGGCGAACCCGCGTTTGTGTCCCTTCGAGTGCCGTCTTGAATGACGGCCCAGAAAACGGCGCCCGCAAAACGAAACATGCGTGGGTCATATGGTTGTGGCTGGTTCAATCGTTGTCAAAATGCGTTATCGAGGGTGGCAAGCACATCATATGGACCATCTCGAATTGCAGATGTTGAAAACTCAGCCCGTTGGGGTGTATTTGCTAACTTGTGCGAAATTGAAAGACCAACTAAATGGACACCGCCCATTTTTGAGGATCCATTTCGAGACATCTAGACATCGGGCCATCTATCCCCAATCAATCGGCACCTGCTCGCAAACTTCTCCTCTTTTCCTTCCGAACGAGCACTTGTTGGGGTCCGAGCTTTTAGACCTTGGCACGTTCCCACTTCAGGGATCCTTCACCTGTAACAAACACCCTTTGTGCATCCAGGCTCGAGATTCCGACTGCGACCCTCTTCCCCAAAAACCTGGGACTTTCTTTCAGAGCCTAGGCCGAGAAGAAAAAAAAAACATCACCCCATGTCCGAAGGATCCGCCCGGATTTCCCCACGGCCCAGGGGATTTCCCCACGCCTGGGCTCCTCGAAGCGCAGGCGGCTCGCCTCCCGCAGCTTCGCCAGCGCCCGCTTGGCCGCCGCGCTGGGCACGGCACTCGCCTCGGTGCACGCTGCGAGTGGAACGAGGGGCTGCTTTTTGGCGGTGCAATGAGCATGTTTAAATTTGGGGTGCAATTTGTTGTGGGTGCAGTTTGGGGTGCAGTTTGGGGTGCAATTTGGGGTGTGTGCTTTTTTTTGGGGGAACCCTTTGGTGGACATGATTTTTAGCTAGGGATTAATGTCCAGCTCTATACTACAATTCATAGCAACTTGTTGGCAGTTGGTCTGAAATTGGTGGTCACGGTTCGAGAGGACTAGGGCTGGTCACACGGCCCAAATCTATCTATATGGCCGCTGCAAAGGTTCCCGCCATTTTGTTGAACAGCCAGCAGCCCTTACTGAGTCGAAACAGAGCGAACAAGCCAGCCAGCCAGCCAACCAACTGACCAACCAATGAATCCATCAATCAACGACTCAACTTACCAAACCAAGCAAGCAAACTACCTCTTAAACCAACTGAACCAACCACTCCACTGTCCGTCTGCTTGCATCCTTCATTTCGGGGCCCCGCCTTGGCCTTCACTTCCTCCTCTGCAACGGGCCATGTAGCAGGCCGCCCGGCGCGGGGCGTATCAGAGGTCTGCTTGCGGACGACCGGCTGGTCGGAGGTCTGCTTGCGGACCCTTGGCCGGCCAAAGGCGCGGGATGGCTCAGAGCTGTGTCGCCCACCCCACCAGCTTGCCAATGCCAACAATGCTTTCCCAACCTGTCTCGGGCACCCTGGAATAAGTGTCATGGCCGAGGGACGGAATATGATTCAGAAGCGTCCGAGGGTGGAAGCCCGGCCCGCACTTGCAGTATAATAAATGCATCCTAAGCCTTGAGCCTAGTAAGCAAAGAACTCCCAAGCTGGTTTTGCCAAGCATCGCGGGCGCGCTCATCTTGGCGATGACGGACAAACTCCTGGTAGGTTTTATCCACCATCTTGTTTCTTTCTATATCAGCCAAGAGTGGACTTACCGGCCGCAGGTTTCTGCAACTTCCAAAATCCGTCTAAGTGATCACTTAGCAAGCAACATGGAAAACATTCAAACTTCTGGCTCCTGTGATACACAATGTGAGTGCGCAATCTGTTTGCTTCATGCTAGCAAGCAAGAAAAAGCTACCCTTCCGAAAGCACAAACTGGGTCAAGGGTACTAGCCTCATTCAGTTTCCATGCTCGTTTTGGAGCCAGAGAGAGCTCACCATCGCTCCAGGCCTGACACCTGCCATTGGAGCCGGTAGCATGTCCTGTAGCTTGTTTCCATGAGAGGATGAAAGCGCCGAAAAAAACCATACTGCCAGTGCTCCACCCATGACACATCGTCTACATATCTTGCAAATACCTTCTGGCAAACCGGGGTCACGTCTATACTTTGGGAACTTCCTTTTGGATCGGCTCAAAGGGACACTCAAGGGAAACCAAGCAACACCCGCCATGGACGCTTGAAAATCCATGCTCTGAAGGAGACCGCACAAATTCGAACATAGCTTCTTAAAGGGCTGCAAAAACGCGTTGGCTTGAGGGTAGATGATTTTGCTGGTAGTAGGCACCCAACAAAGCAAGATAGGGACAAAACAAAACCAAAGGAAACCCCATGTTATTCTCGCTTCGACTCCCAGACACAGAACCAAAAGGACGACTCCAACAAACCAACCCGTGGAGATCCTCAGGGTGATGGCGCGTAGCCGGCCCATGGGTGGCTCCTCCCGCTTCCGCGATTCCTGCCTCAGCCTGGAATCGCTGCTTCGTGTTGTTTTCAGCCCGCGAGGCCCACGGCGGCAGTAGAAATCGAAGGGCCGAAAATTGAGACTTTTTCAAGAGAAGCAAACGTTTTTGATGGTTTAGGGTTTGCAGTCCCATAGTCTTCAGGAGACTTCTGTGGCAAAACTGTTTTCCTTGTGATAAAACAGCAAGCTGTTGAGTCATAAGCTTGCAGTGGGACACTTTCAGACTTGAAACCGGTCGTGCAACCTCTGTACCGCCTGGTCGTGAAAGCAACTCATCTGCTAAGCTGCTCTCCTTTTACACGGGCTTGGTCGCAAAAAGGGATGCCCAACGGGAAAATCATCACAGGAGCAGAAAGTTGCATTCTACTATGGAAACCTTGTTTTCTGGTACCGAAGCAAAGTCCAGAGTCCGAAGTGTTGTTCTCGCAATGATTCTGACCAAGAAAGAGTTCTGGTGCATGCCGTGCATGTGGTGCTATGTGGTGTTACAGCTCCTGGCAGCAAAGTGCCAAAAAAGAAAAAACGATGGGTATGCTTCTGATTTCCATGTCTCAAATTGAGGGGCACCTCCCAAGTCCCCGGGTCATGTTCACATGCGACTCGCCGCTCTGCTCATGGCCTGCTGGTCTCCTGCAATCTGCCCTCCATCAGCTTATCAAAGCGCTCCCTTTCCTCCGGGTACGCAACCAGCAGCCGCTGGAAGCGATGCCTGCGGTGCCGAGACGCTCGGCTCTCACGTCCGGTCAAAGGAGCACCAAACGTGCGGCGAAAGTTCCAAGAAGCCAAGAAACCGTCGGCTTGCTGTTGGGCTCGTTTTTGGGGTCCTCTTGTTCCTATTGTCTCTGCAAGAGAGGTGGCCATATTGAGAGTCGGATGACTGCTATGGATGCTGAGGGAAACGATTCATGTGCTTCACAGTCACTGGAATCCCCTCAAAGAGAGCAAGTGATGCCTCTATCTGACTTTCTCGTTACCCGAAAGTGGACGTGCATGAAAGTCCAGTCGAAAAAAAGGCTAGTCTTAGAGGCTTCCTTCGTCGGCTCTCCTCCCCGGCTTTGGGGCCCCCTGCTGGTCCACGCTGCGGCAGTCGCAGGTGTCTGTGGCCCTCACCGTGCAGCTGCGCTTGCCGTTGCTGAAGAGTGCCATCTCCTCGGCGCGCTTCACTCCACTCTCCAAGTGTGTCATGCCCAAGCCTTGTACGTCTTCCGGAACGGGGGTGCTCAAAAAAAATCGTCAAATGAGACATGGCTCCTGACCAACGGACGCCAAGGACACTTTAGGCAAATCTCTGCCCTTTCAAAGGTACGGAGCAACGCGGAAAGCTTCTCCGAGTTCGCCCAGCGGCCCCGAAGACGTTGCCGGCAGTGATGTTGCCCACCACTTGCTCCCCTAGCAGCACCTCCACTGAGCCCCAGTTCAGGAAGTACATCTTGTCTCCATCTTGGCCTAAGAGAATGCAAGCACTTTTAGGTGAGTGCGGGATGGAAAACACCATGGCGAAAAATTGAGGATTAAAGTTGTTCTGGGGGAAACGATGTGAATGACCTCAAGGCGACAACATGGTATCTCAAAATCTCTCAAAACTCGCGAAAGACTGGAGAAAGAGTGGCTTCCCCCCCCAAGTCAGCTGCTTCAATTGGCACGCGGACGGCCTTAAAAAAGTGCTCATGATGAGGAGGCCCAAACCCAAACCCAAACCCACCTCACCCCAAACACCCCAAGCCCCCCGAGCCCCACAACCCCCACGCGACCTTGCTGGATGATGTACTGCCCGGGCAGGAAGAGGTCCACCTCCAGCATGGAGCTCAGCTCCTTCAGGAACTTCTCGGAGCTGCCCTGGAAGAACCCCGCCCGGCTCAGCATGCAGTGGTTCTTCAGCAGCGACCTGGCGAGCTCCCCGGAAAAGAGCGTTCACGTGCCCAGACTGCCCGGACATACGGGTTGGTTCAGAGGGAAAATTGGGGTCCCTCGATATTGACACACACACACACAGAGTCGTGCCCAAGTGAGAATGATGTCCTCTGCCTCGAAACAAAAAAAAACTGCCTCGTCTTGAAATGTTCGGCAACCGTTTGGGCGCCAGCGACCATTGAATATCACCTTGCTTCCCATTTCCTACAGACGAGCCGAAGGATTATATAGTTTCCCGCATGCGGAACGAGGCCACCAAATGGAGGTGTTCTACAATGAAACCCGGTTCGGCCAAAAAGGCATGGCAGTGGAACGGACCTCAACCCCCGCCTGGACTGCTTCCAAAGGAGAGCGCTTCTGCGTCTGCGCATGGCGCTCCAAGTCTGCGCACTCGCGCCGGGCGCACTCTGGCGGGGGCGCGGTTCTGGTGGCCGAGGTGAAACTTGGAGCCAGGCCCGGCAGCGAACGGAGCCACGAGCTAGTGCGCACTTCTTGAAGCTGCACATGTGTATGTGTATATATATATAGTGTGTGCTCTCACACATACATATATATATATATACTATTACAATGTACATGTCCTGAAACAAGAGATGCAATTGGTTGGCCGGGATGAAATGGAACCCTCCATGATGACGGTGATAGCTACTTAGAGGTCAAGAAGATATGTTGTAGCAAGCCTAACCAAAAGAGACAGCAGAGCATCAGCAATCCCCCAAAACCGCTGACCAGCACCGAGCGCCCCACCCGGCTACCAACCACCTTCCTTCTCGCGCAGCCGGGCACAAGAGTGGCAAACAAGCAAAAAGTTAGTTCGCAGCTGCCCCGCCCTCTCCCCTCCCCCCCCCCCAAGATTCGGAAGCCCGACTGTCGCTTTCTTTTGCGCCGCACAAAAACTTGAAGCTCAGGTCACCGCAGCTGGGCCTCACATGTGCAATCCAAACCTGGAGAAAGAAGTCCGCAAGTTAAAAAAAGGGAAGCCGCAGGAAAACGGCTCACAAAAATAGGAGGTCCCCGAGCTTTCCCCGAAACCCTCCAGAACCCCTTCCAGAACCCTAGCCCGACAGCAGTCTACCCAAAGACCAACAACCCATCGAAAAGAATCGAAAGGAATGGTTGAAAGCACATCAGGCGATGCTTCATTGAGCTACATCTAACCGACTTAAACTAGGAGGTCTCTCCATTGGAGTACATGAACGATACTTGCCAAAATCCTGTCAAAGGCTGCCGCAAAAAACATGAGAAGCCAGTGTTCAAAATTCGCCTAGCAAAAGCACTCTCCAAAGCAAACATCAACAAACACCGACCAAGACTGGATCACAAACAAAGACACCAAGCACGCCTGAACACATCCAGAGAACAAAAAGGAACGTTTAGCGACTGTGTTGTGGGAATCATCCACTTTTCTGATACCACTGCACAATGACAAATTCTTCACGGGAAAGGCTCCCTTGGTGCAGAACTACAAAAACGTCTCGCGAAGATGGAACCCCGCTTTTGCTTACAGCCATGGGAAAGCTATTACCTCATTCCCCCAACCGAGCTCCCGTGCGGCCGGGCATGGCCTAAGATCAGGGTTTCGCCCCCCCAAAAGGCAAACGCAGAAACTACATGTCCCTGGGAGACCACATGCTCCAAGGGGCCTCGGTTCAGGCTCCGGGTTTGTGTTTCGGGGGTTCCCCAGGGCGGTGAAAAAGGACATGGTTTCGGTGTTGACCCAAAAGGAGCCACAAGGGAACGAGAGACAGAGAGAGCGAGAGAGGCATGAGGTTGAGAACATCTTGTGTGCTGCAGAGCCAGCTACCCAGGTTCTGTGTTTCTCTTTTCAAGATCTGGAATGAAGACTTGCTCTCTGGAGTTCCATCCTATCTCTTGATGCATCGTGACAGGAGGAATTCGTCCCTACCAACTCCACGTTGGGAAAAAGTCCTGAGATCTCAGGGAGATTACGTGGTAACAACCGCCGAAAAAATGACAGCGCAACAGCGCCGGATTTGGGGTAACATCGCTGAAAGTGTGCTGTATTCACGCCGGACTGGGGCGTGTGCACGCACACGCATGCACGGACACACACACACACACACACACACACACACACACACACACACACACACACACACACACACACACACGGGAAGACTTCGGGAAGACTCCCGGGGCGGTAAAATTCAGTAAAATTCAGCCGGAAGACTACGGGAAGACTACGGGAAGAATTTGGGAAGACTCCCGGGAAGACTGGGAAGACTTTGGGAGGACTCCACGGAAGACTACGGAAAACTCCTGGACCGTTACCCCATATTTGGCGTGGTTACCTCAGCATCTGAGATCTAGTCACCACATCAGGATATGCAAACAAATGTATCCATTTCTCTTGTGGTATTGGTTTGGGGAGCAGTGCTTGCCCTCTTAGCAAATACCCGCTATGTTGCTGTTGACCCCGGAAAACTACATTGTAAATCAGATGCTCATATTGAATAATAACATCATAATTCTGGCCTCAGACTAATCAGCCCCCAGCCGATTCATAGGGATCTGCGGGGGGGTAGTTCAGGGCTCCTCCGGCCATCCGAGCTCCAAGCTCATCGGAAGCCCACAGCGGCCTGGGCTACAGGATGTGGCCAAACCGCTTGCGAAACGAGAAAATGGCTGGGTCTTCTTTGGGGGATACGACACAAAACCCGCCAGGTGGTCTATTTGTTTGTTTCCCGCAGCTTGCCATTTTGTGAATCAACAGACTCGCGAGTTCCTGCAAACCAGTCCGGCAAACAACGGAAAGCGCCTGCCACGGCATGCGATGGCTTTCCCTTGTTTTCCCTTGCTTTCCCTTGCCTTCCTTCGCTTGACCTTGCTTTTTCCCTTGCGTTGCCTTGCTTTCCCTTGCTTTCCCTTTCCGTTGCTTTCCCATTTCCTTGCTTTCCCTGTCCCTTGCTTTCCTTTGCGTTGCCTTGCTTTGCCCGTGCTTTAGCCCCTTGCTTTACCTTGTTTTCCCTTGCTTCCCTTGCCTTGCTGTCCCTTGCTTTCCCTTGGTTTCCCTTGTTTTCCATTGTGTTCCCTTGCTGTCCCTTGCTTTCCTTTGCTTTGCCTTTCTGAGCCCGTGCTTTTGCTTGCTTTGCCTTGCTGTCTTGCTGTCTCTTGCTTTCCCTTGCTTTGCCTTGCTTTGCCTTGCTTTGCCCGTGCTTTTGCTTGCTTTGCCTTGCTGTCCCTTCCTTTCCCTTGTGTTCCTTTGCTTTGCGTTGCTTTGCCCATGCTTTTGCTTTCTTTGCCCTGCTATCCCTTGCTTTCACTTGTTTTCCCTTTCACTTGCTTTCCCTTGCTTTCCCTTGCCTTCCTTTGCTTTGCCTTGCTTTGCCCGTGCTTTTGCTTGCTTTGCCTTGCTCTCCCTTGTTTTCCCTTGCTTTCCCTTGCCTTCCCTGGCTGTCCCTTGCTTTCGTTTGCTTGTCCCTGCTTTCCCTTTCCCTTTCTTTCCCTTGCTTTGCCCGTGCTTTTGCTTGCTTTGCCTTGCTCTCCCTTGTTTTCCCTTGCTTTCCCTTGCTGTCCCTTGCTTTCCTTTGCTTGTCTTTGCCTTCCCTTGTTTTCCCTTTCCCTTGCTGTCCCTTGTGTTCCTTTGCTTTGCCTTGCTTTGCCCGTGCTTTTGCTTGCTTTGCTCTCCCTTGTTTTCCATTGCTTTTGCTTGCCTTCCCATGCTTCCCTTTGATTATCCTTGCTTTCCCTTTCCCTTGCTTTCCCTTGCTGTCCGTTTCTTTCCCTTGGTTTCCCTTACTTTCCCCTGCTGTCCCTTGCGGTCCTTTGCTTTCCGTTGCTTGTCCTTGCTTTCCTTTGCGTTGCCTTGCTTTCCATTGCTTTCCCTTTCCCTTGCTTTCCCCTGATTTCCCTTGCAGTCCCTTGCTTGCTGTCCCTTGCTTTCCTTTGCTTTGCCTTGCTTTGCCTGTGCTTTCGCTTGCTTTGCCTTGCTGTCCCTTGCTTTCCCTTGCTTTTTTGTTGCTGTCCCTTGCTGTCCCTTGCTTTCCTTTGCTTTGACTTGTTTTGCCCGTGCTGTTGCTTGCTTTCCCTTGCTGTCCATTGCTGTCCCTTGCTTTGCCTTGCTTTGCCTTGCTTTCCCTTGCCTGGCTTGCTTTCCCCTACTTTCGCTTCCTTTGCCCTTGCTTTCCCTTGGTTTGCCTTGCTTTGCCTTGCTGTCCCTTGCTGTCCCTTGCCAGCTTGACCCAAGTCAGAGCAAACCAACAACTGCACAACCCTCCTGCACTGAATCACATACAAGCAACAACCCAAACCAGCGCCCGTACTTACACACCCCGTGTCGTCTCCCTGGGACCTGCAAACCAGCCTTGCGGTGGCAGAAAGTGCTCCAAAAATACTCCCAAAAAATGGGAGTATTTTTCCTGCGACATCCCCAGCATCGCCGACCACCACAAAAACTTCCAAAACAAGCGACATCCCCTGCATCCCCGGCATCCCCTGCATCCCCGGCACCCCTTGTGCGCCCAAGTCCGGCGAGGCCGGAAGCAAAGTAAAATGATGTAAAACTGGCACGCTTTTTGGCCCGCGAGAGCCACAGACGAAAAGGTCAGACATGATAGGCAGCGTCGACGAAAAAGCGCGAAAAACACAGGGAAAAACACCAAAAACCAGCCTTGCGGTGGCAGAAAGTGCTCCAAAAAATACTCCCATTTTTTGGGAGTATTTTTCGGCTGACCAGACCTGCAAATCTCCCGGAACGAGGTTACCCCCCCCCCCCCCACACCCCCCACACCCCACAACTTCGCACACTAACTCCCAGCGCTTCAAGAAGCGCTTTCCGTCATCTTAGGTTTGCCTCATATTTTCAGAACTTACCACTCCTCTGACTCCAAGTTTGGAAGCGTAAGATTTGCACATCCTTGCCCAAGATGGGACTGCGCCATTGGATTTAGTGCTTGTGGGTCACTTTGATATCATGGAGTCAACACAAGAATTCCTTTGCAGGCTTCCATCAGTGCAGCACTGCCTAGCTCAGTTGCCTGCAGACTGTGCTGAGACTGCAAGGCTTGTCTTCTCTCTTTTCTTTAGGTTGTCCGTATTGACCCTGCTTTGGACCAAAGCCCAGACTTGGGGTTGCAAGTTCTGATGCTCGTGAAGTTTTGGTTTGGGAATGTGGGAGCCAGTGGCTGCAGTTGCAAGTTTTAATGCTGGTGAAGTTTGGGATTTTGGGCTTGGAGCTTTGGAGTTGGGAACAAGTTTTTTCATTGTTCTCCACCCGACAGGAAGGGGTTGTTAGATTTTATGTTGGAATCCGCAATTGCGATGCTTCTACACCACGCCCCCACCCAGTATCCCGCTAGAGCAGCTCGTCAGTGGATCCCGGCGAGTATCCCGCCAACGCAGCTCGCCAGTG